CATGTTGACATATTTAGATGCAAATATTTTACCTAACACTCCCCACTTTAACTACTGCGATATTTAACTCGATGGTGGAGTGCTTGCCCATATTTCACGTTTTAAGTATTAACACCTAAGAAGCAATTTCCTCTTCTAAATGTTACCTACTTTAAGTTCTTTGAAGGGGTGTAGAGAATAGAGTCTTTTTTGCTATCCTGCTGGATACAGGATAGGTTGGATAGTTTTTGCTATCCAGCCAGATATGTACACGATATAGTATGTTGGATAGTTGAAAATATCCAGCCAGATTCATGGTATTATCCAAATATATATGGTTAATGCCTCATAAATTTAAGGTCACTCCTTTAAATGGCGATGTGCCCAGCAGCCTGGATGCTCCCCACTGTATTATTTTACTTGTCAGTTGTCAGGAGGAGAGTGCTGACAGTCAATGGGTTAATCAGACTATCTTCCCATGCACCCTATCAACCCTTCAAGTGGCAATGTGCCTCACTTTATTATTTTACTGTCTAATTAGATGTCAGACAATTTCACTTGTCAGGAGGAGAGTGCCGCCACTCAATGGGTTAATCAAACTATCTGTCCATGCACCCTACTAACCCTTCAAGTGGCAATGTGCCCCACTTTATTATTTTACTGTCTAATTAGATGTCAGACAATTTCACTTGTCAGGAGGAGAGTGCCGCCACTCAATGGGTTAATCAAACTATCTGTCCATGCACCCTATCAACCCTTCAAGTGGCAATGTGCCCCACTTTATTATTTTACTGTCTAATTAGATGTCAGACAATTTCACTTGTCAGGGGGAGAGTGCCGCCACTCAATGGGTTAATCAAACTATCCGTCCATGCACCCAACTAACCCTTCAAGTGGCAATGTGCCCCACTTTGGATGTCAGACAATTTCACTTGTCAGAGTGCTGTCATTCAATGGGTTAAGTGCTTCACCTTCCCTAAATTTATTTCCACTTCCCCCACTATTTCCACCAAAAATCCAAAATCCATCCTTGGTATTATGGGAACTGTTTTCATTGGGAGATTGTTGATGTACTCTGTGTGTTTCGTCAGTAATATTATCAATCATATAGTCAGTCTTGATATGCATGCACTTATCTTTTCCTGTTTTACCTACAATCAACAGGATGATGATGTTACAAAGAAGATCAAGAAATATGTATCTCCAAGACTTCTGCATGATGTTTGTTGCTGAAGGAATGGTTGTCACCAAACTGAAAGCTGTAAATATCTTAAATATCTGTATTTTGTTTGCATATTGTATGTGTATAGTGCTGAAGGTGTAACTTGACACAGTAAGAATGTGTTTTTATTTTTGGAACATATTCTTATTCCTTGCAGTGGAAAGAAGAGACTTACATGCATGTTGCTAATGCCAGTTGAACACTTAATTTCTTTTATGAAATAGAACATTGCCAGCATGCATGCATGTCCAAGGGTATCGCATACATACAGTTGATTCCGTTTGACCGATAGATATATTTTTATACAATATATTTTCACACAACAGAGCATTAATTAATATACAGTATGTGCATCAAATTAGGATTTCCATCAATGTTGGGATTGATTTTATTATAATTAACATTAGTCAAGTGAACATTATTTTGTGTGACCTCCTTTTGATTTTAGAATATAGCTTTAACTATTTCTGGCATAGTTCAACAAGTGTTCTAAGTACTACTGGCTTAAGGTTATTCCAGCATTGATTAAGGACATGCTATACAGTAGGTTGTCTTTACTTGTGGTATCATGTTTCACTTTCTCTTGTTTCAAATGGTCCCATAAATTCTCAATAGGATTTATGTCCCGAGATTGAGGAAGAAAATTTTGTAACAACTAAATCGCCTTTCTCGTGCTTTCTTCTTAAATAATTTTTACACATGTGAGAAGGGTGGTTCGGATCATTATCCGTTGCAAGACAAATCTCCTTCCACACAACCTTGAGCTACTGTAGATGGTATAGTGTGATCTGGTTGTTCTGGATTTCTGCCTCAACTTCCAGCCGGACCTAAATCCTATTGAGAATTTATGAAAAGTGAAACATAATCCCACAACTAAAAGCAGCCAACCAATAGCATGTTGTTAATCAATAATTCTGGAATAACCTTGAAAACCATCAATACTAAGAAAAACCATATTAAATACTAAGAAAAAAACCATCAAAATTTGTTCAGTCTACATGTATGCCAGGAAGATTTTAAGCTGTTTTAAAATCAAAAGGAGGTTACACAAATATCAATATAATATTCACTTGGCTAATATAGTATAATCAATTCCAACTGTAGTGTATATCCTTATTTGTTGCACATATAGTAGTGTGTTGTGTCAAAATGTATTGTATATCAATATAAAAAGGCAAGATCATATTGACTGGACTCAGACTTTTGACCAGTGGCATATAAGGTGGCTTTTCAAGGTGACTTTTCCAACTTATTTAACTCCGAGGAGAAATGTCTGGGAAAATAATTTTCAGAATTGTCCAAGATTTCACTCCCAAAATGCTTGAAATCGCATTTCAGGGGATCTAGATTTTAAAATTTTCTTGGGGGTGCATGCCCCCGAACCCCCCCCCCCAAGACGGTCTCATGCCTTGCATGAGTTTGCCCCCCCCCCTCCAAAATGAAGGTCTGCGTAGTACGCCACTGCTTTTGACCCCCACTGTATAACGATGAACTACTTGTAATGTGCAAGCCAGGAGAATCAAATGCGAAGTCCTTTGTCGTTATATTTTCTCCTTTTATAACAATCCTTTTATTTGACAAATCAACTTCCATATCATCCTCCAAAATTATCAATCACAAAGATCAACCCATCTTCTCCAAGTAAAAAACATGATCTAGCAGCATGCGTTCGCAAAGCACGTTGGGCTGTGACAATGACAAATATTTCTAAGGGGCGGGACTACAGTTGGCGCGCAATAGATAGAAGCCGTTTAATGCGTGCCATGCACTCCGTTGCCATTGTTGTTTTTGCTAAATAAAGTTGTCGATAACTATGTCCATAGTGAAAGTTAATTATTTACGACTATTATGCTGCAAAGAGAGCAACGCTCGTTTTTATGATAGAAGAAAATCTAATGAGTTTCTCTTACGATGGATTCGAAACATCCACGTCTTACAACCGAAGTTGACGACACGGAAGTTGATTTCTCGTCGTCTTACTTCAACTTTCAAATAAAAGGATTGTTAGAAAAGGAGAAAAATATCACGATAAAGGCCTTCGCATTTGCTTCTCCTGACTTGCACATTACAAATATAGTTCATCGCTACATCAACAAAATCTAAAATTTGATTTCGTCTACAATATTACATCTCTGTTTGCAGAAATGGGCTTTCCGTTTTGAAAACAACGGCCTTTCTTGTTTATCCGCCACATTTCTCTAAATCCAACTGTAATCCCGCCCCTTTGGCTCTAGAATTTACGGTCAAACGGAGTCCGCTGTGAAATATGAAATGGTTCTCTGACTGCATGCATGCGTGTAAATATTTATTTTCACAAGTTTTGGCTATATGACTTGATAGCCTTCGACGAGTAAATATTGTAGAAATATTTACAGTCAGAGAGGTTTCGTGTGACGTTTCATCCCTATAAGTTATTATATTGCATATACTGTATATTGATTTTGTATTTTAATCTTAATATTTATTTGTTAATAAATTATTGTTTTTCCAGCACGTTTTGAATGGTTTAATGGCGAAATGGAATGCAATTTTGATCATTTTAGCCAATTTAAATGTTTAACCAATTTTAATTTGGTCATTTGAAATTGGTTAAAATGACCAAAAAAAATTGGTCGTTTGAATGCGTCTGAGACAACCAGTTTAAATTGGTCTTTTTAACCAAATAATTAATTGGTCAAATTGACCATTTATTTATTGGTCAAAACAACCAATTATTTCCGGTTGTTTTGACCAATAAATAATTGGTCAATTTGACCAATTAAATAATTGGTCAATTTGACCAATTACTTTTTTGGTTAAAACGACCAATTTAAACTGGTTGTCTCAGACGCATTCAAACGACCAATTTTTTTTGGTCATTTTAACCAATTTGTTTTTACTGTGTATGCTCGCATTGACAAAAATATGTTATGCTTCTATATTTTCCCGAGCCGATTATTTGCCAATGACTGACAACATCTATAAATGCTTCCCATACAAAAAAGATCGGATTCGTCCGTTCCTGTATGTTCATTTCCATTTTTAGTTCGCGCATGTGATCTTTTTATTGTAAAGGTGGATCTTCATACTGTATGGTTACTTTTGGAAATTAGCATACTCTTGCAATTATGAAAGTAATAAACAAATTCCAAAAATACAGGACATCTTGAGAATTCAATATATAATTCAAAACACGACGCAGTTTGAGACTGTAAATTTTCGACTTTATTTCAAAGTCATCTTCAGACAGAATGAAATACAATACTTTACAACACACACACACATATATATATATATATATATATATATATATATATATATATATATATATATATATATATATATATATATATATATATATATATATATATATTAACAATAATAACAATAATAACGTTACACGAGTGGAATCGTAAACGTGGGAAACCACAACATTCACATACAACATTGCCAGACTAATAGCTGGCTATACGCATTGAAGGACTAACCTCCGAAATGCAACTTGAACATCATAACTTAACAAGTCGTTCTCAGCTTGACCTTGTAGCTCAGAAGGTAGAGCATCGTTCTAGAAATGCGAAGGTCGCGGGTTCGAATCCCAGCCGCGGTCAAGTAGAATTTTCTGCTTGCCCGGTTTGGTATACACTCGTATGAAAACAACTCAAAAACCACTACATAACGTTACACGAGTGGAATCGTAAACGTGGGAAACCACAACATTCACATACAACATTGCCAGACTAATAGCTGGCTTTACGCATTGAAGGACTAACCTCCGAAATGCAACTAACATCATAACTTAACAAGTCGTTCTCAGCTTGACCTTGTAGCACAGTAGAGCATCGTTCTAGAAATGCGAAGGTCGCGGGGTTCGAATCCCAGCCGCGGTCAATTAGAATTTTCAAAACCACAACATAACGTTACACGAGTGGAATCGTAAACGTGGGAAACCACAAAATATATATATATATATATATATATATATATATATATATATATATATATATATATATATATATATTGATGTTCGTTTGCAATTTCTCAATATTTTTCGATGCAAATGGACGGAAGAAAATATTGATATTTAATTCAACCCCGGATATACTCAAGTACGCCTGAAAATGAAAGTCGAAAACATGTTTGAGCATCCTCGATCGTTGATCGAACTTCGCTACAAACGATTATATACCACGCCATATTGATTGAATTAACTCACAGAGGCTTCCTTTATTAGCTCTTCCCATCACTCCTTGCGCGCCCACTTTTCCCTCACTAGAAACTTCATGTAAGCCTCAGCGGAGGAGAGAGTGCGTGAGGCACTTGCCTGATGCGTAGTCGGCAGAGATCCTTGTGTGACCCTTGCCAACGGACGATTAGAACTAATCGCCCGGTCGAGCGGGCGATTAGAGCTAATCGCCCGCTACAGCTGGCGATTAGTTAGTAATCGACCCTGGTGAAACTAAATAAACCCGGGAAACTATGCTATTAACATAAATAATACCATTTAAATTTCTGAAAATAAAAATCTCCTAAACACCGTTCAAAAAAAAATCATAAGAAATATAGAATCTACCGCAAGTTTCGAAATACCAAAAAATCCGTACATGTTCTAAAATGATACACACGTCGTGATAGATTCGACTATTTTGCACGCTATAAGCGGCGACTTATTTACGTCAGAGGCGACAAATCGAAAATCACGTTCAAACTTACTTGGTACGTAGAATATCCTGGTTCTTTCATCTGAAATTTTTTCTGGCCAAAAGTAATCGTCCACTACTTGCATCTATAAAATTCAAACAGTCTAGAATAGGCAATCACAGCTTTTAGTTTATACGTGCACGGTGGGGAGTAAGGTATCATGTTTGTGATTATGCTAATAAAATAAAAATGGTGGTCGTACGTCTAAACATGGAGTGATGGCTTATACTTGTAAATATTGAAACATTTCGGTTGTGTCGGCTGTTTTTGTTTAAATTTTCAGCATAACCAGCAATATGATACCTTATACTCTGGTCACCCCTTCGCGTATAAATCAAAAGCTGGAATTGCCTATTAGGATAAAGGAACGTCTTTCACTGTTTGTAAAACCATGATTGGTAGGTACATATTTTCTTATTTGAACAAAATGGTCAATGAGTCGATGCTTCTTGTACAAGCTGCCAATATTAAATGAACGTTTCGAACTATATTAACGCCTGGGGAAATATGGAGAATTATGTACAGCTTATCGTAAATGAACATACCTTTAACTCGTACCAACAACCATAATAAACTCCCTGATCTTCATCAGAGCTGTTAGATGTTAAAACCTAAGGAGAAAAATTTTTAAATTCAGAAATTTTAAGGTTTAGTTGAAAACCAATTTAGGAAATACTTTCTTAAACCAATCATAACCATGTGCATTCAAATGCGCCGTGGTTTACACCACAATACTAAATGTTTGGTACGACACGAATAACTATATAATAGGCATCCGTACATAATATGAACTTGCAGCGACCTCGTTAGTAGAGTCTCAACACGAGATATTTTCCATGGGCAGTTTTACGATGGTATATAAGAACATATGGCAACTGATCCTCCATTATGTCTTGGACGCGTCGGACAGTTTTCTTTGAGGATTCTTTAAACCTCCGCGGATCTAGACTTCTTCAACCATTATTGAACATGAATCATGGTTGTTGGACACAATTAAAATAAAAATATTTATAACATTATGGATTCTGAAAATGTGTGATTCTGTGATCCCGTTTATACACTATAACGGATTGCATCGGAGACGGAGCGTCGCGATTTTCATATCGAATTCGGCTGCTGTTTTTACACTACGCCATAGTAATCCGGTACGCGGCGTAAAAATCACTCCGCTTTGGAAGTGTTATGAAAACTAATGCGGTATGTGCCGAAGCAGTGTAAGCAGGCCAATCCAGTACGCTTCGGTACAAAATTTCGGTTTTCGCGTGTACGTTTTACCATTGTCGCCTCCATTTGGCGCCAGACAAATTAAGAAAACGATAATAACATTGATTGTTCGGTTACGACAAGGCAAAATTTAAAGGAATACTCGGTAATTTGGGATTAGAGCGATAGGAGCAACGTCTGGTAGTCAAGCTTTTTAAACACAAAGTTAGCTTTACAAAGAAAACGTGCGTTACTTCTTGTTTTTAATAAATTTTAGTACACTGGAAAAAAATATTACTTGTTTCCATGGCGACAGCGAGACATGTGCTGGCAACAGAGCGAATTAGCGGCAGGCATAGCGTAAATACCCTTGATTTTTACTTCGGAGTGAAAATTAATACGGTATGAAAAGTAATCCGCTATAGTGTAAATGGGGCTTATATTTAAAGCACTTACAGTAATTTTTTGCGCTATATTTGATATTTACAGCATGGAAATAATAAAGTTTATTTTTTCCGGTTAGTAACGTTCATGGATGTTTCTGATTGGTTGACGAGAAATCCGCATTACACGATACGGGCCTCTCTACGGACCTCTCGCCCGCGTTACGGACCTCTCACGTCCCGCGCCAAAACAAACCGAAGAGTGAAGACAATTTTCAAACTCAAAACACAATCCAAAATATTGAAAATTCCTCCCCATCGATACTGAAGATAGAAAAATAAGCTGAACTGATTTCAATGGATTTTCGCCTGTATTCTAAAAAGATCACTCACGCCCACACTCAAAGAGTGAAGGTTCAATCTGAGCTCCCCTTGAATGTCAGTGCAGCTTTTCAATAGCTGCAGGATGAGTAGTCACATCGTAGGGTATGACACTTAACCTCCAGCTATTCAAAACCTACACTGACACTCAAAGGAAGCTCAGATTGAACCTCCGGAGTGTGAGTGAGTTTTTAGAATACAGAACACCTCCGGAAAAGCACGGAACAGCCCGGAACACCTACGGAACAGCCCGGAACTCCTACAGAACAGCCCGGAACGCCTACGGAACAGCGCGGAACACCTACGGAACAGTCCGGAACACCTACGGAACTTGGCGGAACAGTACGGAACAGTCCGGAACACCTCCGGAACAGGACGGAACAGCCCGGAACAACTACGGAACATGGCGGAACAGCACGGAACAGCCCGGAACACCTACGGAACAGCCCGGAAAACCTCTGGAACAGCTAGCCCGGAACACCTCTGGGACACCTGCGGAACAGCACGGAACAGCCAGGAACACCTCCGGAACAGCACAGAATTAACGTTCATTTTCATATATATGAAAGCGTCATGTATCCGAGCGAAATATCCGAGTTTCAATGGGAGAGTCCTCTTGGTTCAACCAGAATTCCAACAACTTTTCAAGTTAGAACACGTCCAAAGGCTTGTTGCCTGTTGGGGAGTTTGGCTGGGTCCTTTAATTTGGACGAAAAGGGATAGTAGGTGCAACAGTGTTTTCTTCAAACTAACTATACATTTTTGCCGGAGTTTTGTTGCTTAGCACAATTATAGAGCTCAGTATATGTATGCTCTAATTGTCAGTGGCCGGTTGTAGAAAATCCGCTCAGCGTTTAGATTATAGTGTAAATATTTTAACTTGAAAAGAACAATTAAAGTTGTTTCATGTGAAGAGTTTAAATTTTGGCACCTGTGCGAAAATGTAATGTTTTAGAGTACTGATGAGCACTAAGCACTTTGTCAGGCTTTATGGGCGTAGATCATATACTGCATCAAAAATGATATACCGTAGACTATTTCTCAATTTGTTTTCACATTGACCGCATACACTGTTAGACACAAACGTTTTTGAGTACTTATAAGCACTGTACCTCAACATGGTGTTATTCTAGAGCGTAATTCGGAATGGTCTATTAGTTTTTGCTCTTAATTCAGGTCTCCACTGTACATATCCTGATAAACGTATTTTTATATTTTGTTTTGTTTAATTATGTTATTACAATACTAGATTATATTAAATATATGAAACCGGCAAAGGCTTGAGTCCTGACGTATTTTTTTTTAACAAACGTTAGACAATTGTGAAAATCACTAAAACACGCGTATAGAAAACATACTCTGAAACAGCAAAAGACGTTCATGGCATAAGTTTTAATGCGTACCATATTAATGAAATTGTAGCATTCCCCATTCTCGCATTTCCCAAATTCGAGTCCTAATTGGCGTTTAAATTGTTAAAAGCCACAGCTCCGGAGGTGTTCCGGTGGTTTTCCGAGCCGTTTCCAACTGTTCCGCCATGTTCGGTAGGTATTCCGGACTGTTCCGTGCTGTTCCGTAGGTGTTCGGGCTGTTCCGCGCTGTTCCGAGCTATTCAGTAGGGGTTCCGGGCTGTTCCGTAGGTGTTCGCGGCTATTCCGGAGGTGTTCCCGGCTGTTTCGGAGGTGTTCCGGGCTGTTTCGGAGGTGTTCCGGACTGTTCCGTGCTGTTCCGCCATGTTCCGTAGGTGTCCCGGACTGTTCCGTGCTATTCCGTAGGAGTTCCGTGCTGTTCCGCGCTGTTTCGTAGGTGTTTCGGGCTGTTCCCTGCTGTTCCGGAGGTGTTCTGGAGGTGTTCCGGGCTGTTTTGGGGGTGTTCCGGACTGTTCCGCCATGATTCGTAGGTGTTCCGGACTGTTCCGTGCTGTTCCGTAGGCCGTTCCGGGCTGTTCCGCGCTGTTCCGTACTGTTGCGGAGGTGTTCCGGGCTGTTCCGTAGATGTTCCGGGCTGTTCCGTAGGTGTTCCGGGCTGTTCCGGAGGTGTTCCGGGCTGGGAATTTAATTAAGCATCGTGCAAAAAAATAAATAAGTTATCTGTCGTCAAACTCGGCTTGTACTTGAAAAATATTTACCCTCGAAAAATATTTACCCTATTGAAAAAAATTTCCAATACGGACCTCCGGCCGGTAAATAATATATACTTCATACTAGAAAAAACGTAACGAAGTACTTTTTGTTAGAAAACTTGTTTTGAAGTTTTGGATATCACTCTGATATGCCAAAAATTGGGCGAGGTATTGCTGAAAGAGCATGTGTTCCTATTAATTGTCTAATTGTAATGTAATATCTTGAATGTGAACGATTATTAGCAGAAGCACTACCCAACAGCTTTTTATAACTTTTAATTCATGATAATGCAAATGAATGCCTTATTGGTGTGACTACTAAAAATCTACTATGGTGGTTCTGACATAATATAGAGACTCCGATTTTACTTCAACTTTCGCTACCGTTACCTCTCACTGGCTTAGTACGCATGTGATTGGTTAATCCATAGACAATCCAGAAGACAGGGACTGGAAACGCCTAATGTTTTGCGCGTGCCATCCGTGATGTGCTTGCGTGACGCTTGTGCCATCATGCCATTTGAGTGAATGACTGAATGGCCTGTTGCTTCGAAAAAGAATAAAGCGATAGATTATGGACTGGTACTTGTCTGCTGTTTTACAGCTCTGTATATACTGGAAAATTGTTTAAATAATCTACACCGAAAAGGGAGTTAGGTATATCACATTGTGTGTAAAGTTTATAAAACGGATCTGCTTATTCAGAGACGAGTGCAAGGAATTTTCGAGCTTGTTCGAAAATTTTGATTTCCAATTTGGGGTGGACTTTCAGGCACGATTCAGGTTTGTTTGCGTATTTTAGTTTACTTTAATTAAGTTTACGTATATTTATTCAGTTTTGCTTCACTGTAATTACGTTATATAAATTGATTGAAGTTATCTTTTCGAAGTTTTCCTTGCTCTGTATTTTAAAAGTTGAATTTGGCAATTTCGGTTTTTAAATTAATATACCTTCCATTTTATTGACTACAAATCCTTTCTTTCTCGAAAACCCTTTTTGCTAAGGCATCCATTATTAAAAAGAAATAAAAACAAGGTTTCAGTTATTTTAACGGTGAGTTTTGTATGTTTAACACTCTTTCGACAATGCCAACAAGAATGCTAATGGCAATGGCGACTTTTTTGCTGTCAAAAACATTACGCAATCATTAAAAGGTGGTTTATGCCTTTGTTTGACCCAATATAAGTTTAAAAACCGGAGAAATGCATCCACAGGTCTATATTTGTTTTAAATATGTAAATTGCAAACCCTGAACTTTATTTAAACTGTAGTTGCAGGGTTCGAAGTTAGCCGGTACAAACTTTGCTGGACAACAACAATGCCAATGGCGACTTTTTTACATGGCAAAAACATTACGCAAGCATTCAAAGGACGTTTTTGGCTTCGTTTGACCCGATATAAGTTTAAAAACGGGACAAGTGCATCCACAGGTCTATTTTTGTTCAAAATACGTAATTTACAAACTCTGAACTTTATTTAATTAAACTATAGTTACAGGGTTCGAAGTGGGGGCAACAGAAATGGCCATCTTCTAGTTGGCGCAAAAGTAATTTTGCCCGTCAAATTTTCAGTAAACATTTTTGGGCGAATAAGTTACCAAATTGATATAAAAGATAGCCTATTCGATAGATTACAATCTTGTGATTACACATACTTTGACCAAAAGGTACAAAAATAGTTTATTTTTAGTTGCAGGGTTAGTTTTGCCAGCAAGTTTTCAGAACAATATGACGATAACAATTGCCGGCTAACAACATTCGTAATTCTGTCAATCAAATTCAGTAAACATTTTTGGCTGAATATGATACCAAATTGATATAAAAAATAGCCTATTCGATAGATTACAATCTTGTGATTTCAAATGGCTTCATCGTCAAAGACAAAACAGGTTAAGTTTGTAGTTACAGGGTTAGTTTTGGCAGTATTTTCTGGAAATAATTGCTGCGTGCGCGATTTACCGATAGCACGATCCAAATTTTACATTTAGCATCACTATAAACTAGAAATAAATGAAAATTTGGACGTATCTACCTTTGTTAGTATAGCCGCTCCACGACTACGATCCCAAAATTCAGATAATACGCTTTTTTAACGATATATTTTGTATAAACTACACGCATTTGCCTTTGTTTTATGTAAATTTAAAGACTTGTTACCGTGGTAACCAAGTAATTGCTACGTGACAGGCACATCACGGATATCACGATTTGTCATCATATTTCTAGCTTACGTTTCCAGTCCCTGTCTTCTGGATTGTCTATGGTTAATATAACAAACACATCTAATCGGTAAATGACCTGTAATGGTAGCGTTAGCGATAGTGGAAATCAAATCTTCTCTAATGTACAGCTAGGGTGTCTAAAAAAAACGCTATGGAAATTCAAAAGGCTATCGTGCATCATAAACGTGGCTAAACAATTCAATTTTTATATATAACGAAAGAACAGTTATTTAGCTTTTCAATGATACTTTTCTTAAATCGTAACGATGAGAAATGGCCACATACTCGTCAAATAAAAATTGCCGGTCGAAATCACATTCTTCCACCGTTGGGAATTGCATGGAAAACGAAGCATAAACGATTCCCAAGAGGGAGTTAAAATTGAATGTTAAATTATCTAAAATAATAGCTCAACTCGTCAATCTTCTTCTTAAGGCCGATTTACACGACAAGCGTTTTGGGCACGGCACTCCTGAAAATGGGCACCGTGCCAAAACCGCCACTTCGCTATTTACTCGTTTACACGACAACATTTTGTAAACACACTTTAATGATAAGCACCGTGCCCATCGGAAAACGGCACCTCTACTTTCCGTTTGCGACGGTATATTTTAAAGAATAAATATGTCGGACAGAAATAGAATTATATATTTATATTTATTAGAACGAAGAAGAGTATTATATGAGCCGAAAATCGAGGGAAAAACCAATTACATACCAGAAAAGTACTTTAAGGGCCAGCTCATATGGGAAAAAGTTATCCCGGTTAGCGAGAAAACTTTTCGACAAGTTTACAAACGAGATCTTGCCTTGGTATGAAAAGTTACACTGCGTTCATATGAGACAAAAAGTTTTCCCGTGTACCGAGATCTCGCTTGTTGACAAGCCAGATCTCGGTGACCGGGATAATGTTTTTCCCATATGCATGAACACAACTTTACGGCTTAGCAGGATAACTTTCTGTCGTATCAGCATCTTTTCAATTCAATTGATATTCAGTGCGTGCCCATCGGAAAACGGCATTCTATTTCCCTTTTACGACGGTATATTTTAAAGAATAAATATGCCGGCCAGAAATATAATTATATACTTATATTTATTGGAACGAAGAAGAATATTATATGAGCCGAAAATCGAGGGAAAAACCAATTCACTACTAGGAACGTATTTTACGTACTTCACTACTAGGAACGTACGAGATCTCGCCTTGGTATGAAAATTATATGTAAAGTTTGTTTACACTGCGTTCATATATAAGACAAAACGTTTTCCCGTGTACGTACCGAGATCTCGCTTGTCAAGTGATAATATTTTCCCCATATGAACACAACTCTAGTTCCCGCTTGGCAGGATAACTTTCTGTCGTGTCAGTAACTTTTCAAATCAATCGATATTATATTCAGTGCTATGTCACAGCCGGAAACTTTACCCGGTAAGCGGAATAACGTTTCTCCATGCATATGAACAGAACAAAACTCAAAAGTATATTTGGCTAGTCGAAAAGGTTTCTCGTTAACTGGGATAACCTTTGCCCATATGAACAGGCCTTTAAAGACGAAACGAGTTGTTTTCTCGCATAAATGTTGTGCCATCTTGTATTCACCCGCCACGAATTCGAGAGGTATGGACGCATCGAACGACAGCTATTTGCTACGACCTAGTTACTGCTCTATTCAGCGACGAAGAGTTGTATTAAAATTTCCGAGCCAACTAGAGCAACATTCACATTCTGTGTTAAATTTTTTTTAAACTTTTTTTTTTTAAATTTTTGGCAAGTTGTGGTTTTTCGCCGCTTGCTGCCATGTTGGAAAGAGGACAATTTGTTTTGCGCATGCTCGAAGTCGAACACATTTTTTATTTTTTTTCGAAATTTGGGCACGGCACCCCTTGCTAGACGTGCCGAGACTACCTCGTGAGAAAGTCTCGGCACGTTTAAATTTTGCGGCACCGATGCCGATTTTTGTCACGTTTACACGCCAAAAGGCAGAGGTGCCGTGCCTAATATTTTGGGCACGGGTGCCCATTTATAGGGGTGCCTTGCCCAAAACACTGGTCGTGTAAATCGGCCTTTAGTGAGACCATAAGAACGTCTATTATTGCATTAAACATGGTTCAGTTAACCGCTGAACAGAGAACATTCGTAATCAAAACGTTTTACGAAACAAGTACCTTGCAACAGACTCACGGTGCTTTTGGATTTATTAACTTTGCATAATTAATGATTTTCAATTCCCAACGGTGGAAGAATGTGATTTCGACCAAAATTTTTATTTGACAAGTATGTGGCGATTTCTCATCTTTACGGCTTAAGAAATATATCATAGAAAAGCTAAATGACAGCTCTTTCGCCTAATGTAAAAATCGAATTGTTTAGTTAAGTTTGCAATGCACAACAGCGTGTTGAATTTCCATTGCGTTTTTCTTTAGACACCCTGTATACTAGTTAACATGCACCGAAGCACGTAAACGAACGTAAAGCCTCATTACTGAACGAAACAATCGTCAAAACTACAGTTCCCTATTGGCTGATAGCACTCAATCCGTTCTCAACCGTATAATAGCAAGCTCTTATTGGATAAACGTTTGGCAAATTTATTCGCACGAAAGTTGGCAGTGTGTTGGTGATTTACATACGATTGCTTACGTACAGCACGTAAAGCGAAATTAGCATGCATGAGTTGTTATAACTCGAGACGTCTTGCTCATTCCCTGATAAACTGCAATCTTAGACATAACTGGTTGAGACTATTTTCCCCCCATAGAAAATTCGCGTATTTTTATGATAAACTCCATGTTGAATCATGTTGCCATTCTTAAACCCCCGCTCCCCCAACTCAATGTTGAGCTTGTATCATGGTATATTACCAAAAGTTGTTTCGGCGTTGTTCACAACATTGAACTGGGGGGAGGGGGGGACAAAGTTTGTTTTGTCAATGTTCAATAACTTTGTAATATTAGCTGAAATGGTCTCAAGGGTTTTGTCCAAGATTGTCTGAAGCACGCTTGATGCATGCCATACTTTACCTATTTGATTAAATTCAGAATATCCGCAGAATGTTAACTGATATAACTTTGGAAGAATGGAAGTCGTCTTGGCCGCTGTTTGTACATGAAAATTTAGTTCATTTTCAATGGAATTTGATGACTCGACAGTCTCGTGCCATATCATATGCTGTACTGTATATGAATTTGCATGAAAGTACTCACAAATCCCAAAGGGCAAAATTGTTCCAGATGTCTATACTATAGACATTGTCATTGCGCTACTCAATACAGTATGTTTCGTAAATTTTTCGATTCCCAAAGCCAAAGGCAAACATATTTGTGAAGAGTTTAAATTCGTTCATGAATCAATCATGACATTACGAGATTTATAGCGAGGACATGTAAATATCAACAATATTTCAGCATTGAAGCATTCATATAAACACGGCGAGCCAGAGTAAAACGATTTTAATTTAAAATCGATAAAAGAAAATGGATCGCTAGAAAATTTTTATGGCCAGTCTGTTTTTGGGATTTGACCTTGAAGGCTGAACGACTCTTAGTGTCTGGAGAAGTTTTAAGATTCAAACATTTTCTGTGCAAATAGTTGGACATATGTCTGCACGAGAATGAGAACTTTGTATATGCAAACATATTTTCGCACGATGCGATAGTACGTTAGGAAATCTCAAGACTCAATATTGATCTACACGACTACACATGTCGACGTAGCTTCAAATCGAAATTGTGATTAACTGACAACATTATAAAGTCTTAAGAATTCGCACATTTTACAAAGAATATGCATATCTATGCCTATGGTCTCATTTACACATATTACATGTGGAGCCAAACAGAATTCAATTTCTTACGTTTGCAAATTAACATAACTGAATATACGTTCGTTTATGTGCTTCGGTGAATGTTAAATACTAGAACTACATGCATGCAGCAACCCACTCGCATTTCCCAACAGAGACGATGAACTATGATTACTTCCACGTGAAGCATGTCATGAATAAAGTAATAGTTGCTGCCATGCTAAAATGCAAAGAACGTTACGGGGAAGTAATAAAATAATTGATGTACAAAACCCTAGAATATGGTTTCAGGTTATTTGGCCTGTAGACTAATTGGCATTTAATGCAAAATAATAAGGTAAAACGTTTGGAAACTTTACGTTTGGAGAAACAGAAAAATTGTTTTCCCGACAAATAGTTTGCTCAAAAAATACAGTCAAAAATATTTGCTTTACAGGCACAAGCTGCTACAAGATTTTCGTCAAGCCACATTTGTCATCGGTAAGAGATAATTATAAACATACTGTACGTTTCAACACAATGCGCTGGATCGAAAAAAATCGTAAAATTGATGAATTTTCGGCAAGTTTGACCTACACGAGGGCTAAAAACAGTCTTTTCGAGTGCATATGGGGTATGTCGGAAATTTGAAGTGAATTTCCACCACTGTCTGAACTTAAAGTCGAAAATAGTCCATTGCATTAAACAAGATGACTTTGCACTTGCATAGCCATGTTCAAGCGCAATTAGTATCCTCAAGCGGCCCGGGAGTGTGTCCATGTACAGAACAGCGCTTTGGCAGTTGGCTCGGGGACAATAATGCATGTGTTCCCAGATTCTGGTTATTGCTGGGACAGGATTCATATAGCCGGTAAATAGTTTGAAGATATGTCACATTTCGAAATAACTTGGTATGGGCCGATTGCAGCTGCTGAACCGTGGCAAAAATTTGCAAGTAATAATTTAAAGGAATATGGTGACATTATTCCATGTGTGGATTTTGAGTGACTTTCGAGGACATTTTTACGTTAGCTACAATGGGTCCATTATCTACATTCTTGTTTGAAAAATGGCTCATTCATGCAATTTAATTGCAAAAGTGCTTTATCGACTCCTGATTTCTGGATCACTACAGTTAAATTAGTGTGCTAAATCTATCTATGAAATAACTGCCCTAACAACCTCATCGTGGTTTTATTGTGGAAGGAATTAAAGAGCACACACATACCGTATGCCTTTCTGCCGTCGGGTAATTTCCTGGATTGCAATTATCATTCCTCGTTAGACTGGAAAGTTCTTGAGTAATATATTTCAGGCACGTCTTGTTGGTTTCGGAAACTGCGAAACAGAATTGATATTAATGATAATATTATACCTCAAATTCAAATTGTCAAATAAAAAAACAACTTTTGAACCACGTGACAATGTGATTTTTTAAGGTATTTCACTCAAATTCAAGGTTTCGCAGTGCAGCGTGAGATACTATAATAGCGAAAATAGCGAGTTTAGCAAGCGACGTTTTTGACAACACGAACGGCATGAGTAACGCTAAAAGACTGGGTCAAGAATGCTGATTGGTTGATAACGTCAAATTTGCTTCCGCGTCAAAAACGTCGCTTGCTTAAGTTCACTAATATCCCACGGTAGACCACCGTGGGATATTATAGTATCTCGCGCACACTCGTACGCGTGATGCGTAGACACCACGCTCTGAAAGAATATGGCTTTGCGAGCTGTTGTTTGTAATTTCGAACCGGAGATTTATTAATTGATTTAAGTTAACCATAGATTTTCAAGACATATGTTACCTTCAATGATCCAAAGGATACATGCTCAAATATTTTAAAGAGAAAACGTCAGATATACATAAGAAATTAAAAATGGTATTGTGCTCAAGTTTTAAAGTTTATTCTGATCTTGGCGGGTTCTTTAACTTTCAGTATAATATATCATTTATAGACCCTCCGCTCGGGGGATTCGTCGAAATATTACCCTCAGTCATGATCATATTTCATCGTCACTTCGGGTAATATTCGAATAATAATATCATCACTTTGGGAAATATTCCGCCGAATCCCCCTCGCTCCGGGTCTATAAATGATAATAATTTACGTTATTAATGGCAGAATTAAATTCGTTATTCGGGTAATATATCGAATATACCAGCAAGATTTTAGGAGATAGGCTATTATGCGAGTTTGCGAGTGTACGAGTCGTGCGAGTCATGCGAGTTTTGTGTGTCTTTCAATGTTTCAGCTCGCTTGATGCTTTCTACTTTATGTTAGTTTATAATTGGTCGAACAATATCTCTTTCATAACAACCCGTATATTCTACTCTTCCCTTATATAAGTGATAGCTTATACTTGTAAATATTGAAATATATTACGGTTATTCCGGCAGTTTTTATTGAAATTTTTCAGCATAATACCTTACTTCCTGTTGCAACATTACTGCATGAAGTACTGAGGTTACCTGCATGTATTGGGAACCCGCACTCAAGTGATACATTTGTTTATATTATATGTTTATATATGTTTATATAATTATATATTGGCGTCCAAAGAATGGCTTCACTGGAAGCGAACCTTCGTGAACGTTTTGTCAGTCCTACCTCAAGCGAACATCGACACACTATCAGTTTTAGCCAACTTTGTATCTCCTACAATCTTCCAACACATTGAAGATAGTACAGACTATGAGGCTGCCATGGCAAGGCATTTTTTAGTACCATTGGCTGGTTGGGCATTTTTCCCAATGGGCCCCTTCCTCTGCCCCACCACTGATGAAAAAAATGGCTAATTGCCCTAAAGCCACGGCCCTATAGGACCTGTAATGTATTGAGTAAATGAGTTTCACATTGAAAAGAAGTTTAGAAAACATAATTTGTTGGTGAGCATACTTAAACTTATGTTGTGTGTTTGAATTTTTAAAAAAACAACACTAGCCGACAATTTCAAAAAATATAGCACGAAACATAATCCAAAGTTTTATAGCATCTTGAAACCCAAAATATAAGTCAAACAAGAAAGTGAGTGAGTAATCCCCGGGCCAACGGCGAGGAGCGCCCAGGCGAGGGTATTAATTCCACCTTGCTATTTACACCCGGGGAAAGGATAGCATTAACGAAGACTTATGGAAAGCCATGACTGTCTTATTATAAGTAATAGCATGGCTTGAGGGAGATTAGTGATTAAATGGCCCCGTAACCCGAGGCAGGTTTGCGGAATCCCTGAGGGCGAAGCCCGAGGGAATTCCGCAAACCTGCCGAGGGTAAGGGGTCATTTAATCACTAATCGCCCGAAAAGCCATGCTATATTAGTTTGTAATAGCATAGTTGCGCTCCCATTTAAAAATGGACAAACATGCCCTACTTGGAATCAGCGTATTTAAGCTAAAACATTTGCTTCATTGCTTGTGGGATGTAAAAGCTTGTTGCACATGCGCACTTTTTACGCTTTAATCGGTTACGCATGCGCAATCTATCATTTAACATCTATCATTTAACGCTTTAATCGGTTACGCATGCGCAATCTATCATTGTACTGGGTTCGACCATAGATATCTTATATACACTAGATAGTGCATCTAATTAATCTGAAATTCAAAAATTGAAGCCGTGATTGCAGTCTCAGGTCGTTCCCATAAAATGAGAAGATTCGTATGTTTTCTATTTCTTAAACAGGGAACTTAAACATTAAGTTAAGCCTATTCAAAATACGTCTTTAAACTATTCAAATGATGAAAGTTATTGCTGTTTTTAAGCGTTTATTAGCAAGTGGGAACGACCAACATGGCCGCCATCTATTCAAATGGGGGTAACCGCTGGAATATCCTTGGCTTCAATTTTACTAAAAGAGATGCGCTATCTAGTGTATATAAAATATCTATGGGTTCGACGTGTACGGACGTGTGCTTTTTCGCTCCAATAATGACATCTGTTAAGAATATTTTGTACCGTAACTTTTGCTTTGCGAAGAACAAACTGAAATGGTTAGGAGCGCTAGAAGACTTGAAAGCATTTGTGTTAACGGAGATTGACGAAGATACAGCAGAAAACACAAACTGGCGATCTCCTAGCGGCGGAACTTGGAAATTTGAAAGTGAGTTACTGGCTGTTACATGGCAAACCAAAAGTATGAATATATCCTTTGAAGGAGAAAAGGGCAAAGACCTTACTGAACGAGTAATTTCAAATCTGAAGGAAGAAGGTGTGAGAGAACACAACAGCATCGCCTTAGCTCAAAATGACACGGAGGACGACGGTGGCGATATAACAACTGTCGAATGTGGAACAACCGCTCAGGTAGTCTGTAACGGTAGTCTGTATGTTGCTATGTCTGAAAAGATTGATGAGGTTAATAAGGAGCTTCAGCATATTTGTATGCAACTGGATGTCTCGTTTATTGACAATACGACTATAGATGACACATGCCTAAATGGAAGTAAGCTTCATCTAAATGCGAAGGGCTCGGCTATTCTAGCAGTCCATTTTATCAAATTTCTCAAGGGGGCAGTGCATCAACCTCTCCAAGTAAACAAAGGCAAAACTACGAGGATTTTCAGCGATCGGCAATTCTGAAACTTGGAGAACTGTTAAAGATAATTGTCCCTCCAGACAAGGGCACCCGCACCCGCAGAAGGAAATAATATCGGACTCAATGTATCGGACAGTACTCTTCTCGGAGACAACGAACCAAATAGGTAATCGGTGTGACCCCATACAAGTAACTTTAACAATTTATTTAATGAGTTAGAGTCTTCTAAAGGCTTACGATTAGCGTGCTTGAACATTAACAGCCTGTTGAAAAACATTGATCAGCTTCGCTTGATCATGCAAAACATGCCAGCTGATATTCTTGCTATAAACGAGACAAAATTAAACCATTTGGTGCCTGACAGTGAAATAGCAATCGCTAATTACTTTCACATTCGCCATGACCGATCTAGATCTGGTGGGGGAGTACTATTGTATGTTCGTGACTCTATACCGTTTTCTGAACGAAATGACTTAGTACCTGACTCACTAGAAATGATATGCATTGAAATTAGTAAACCTCGCAATAAGTCATTTTTAGTAAGCACTTGGTATAGAGCTCCTAACTCGCAATCTGCTCTTTTTGATGAATATGAGGCTTTTTTAAGAAATAGCGATATAGAAAATAGAGAGGTTATAATTATGGGTGATTTGAACTGTGATATCTTGAAATCTCCTTGTGAGTCTCATACTCGCAAGCTACAGTTCCTTTCATCACTTTATCAGTTCGATCAGCTTATTGATGAACCCACAAGGATTACTGGAACATCAGCAACTCTAATTGATCTAATTCTGACAAATAAAGAGGAAAATATTTCAAAGTCTGGTGTCATACACCTTGGACTTTCTGATCACAGTATGATTTTCGCTATTAGAAAACATTGTATTCCCAAATCACGGGAAAAGGTTAAACATATTCGTAACTTTAAAAATTTCAATGCCAATGATTTTCTTACGGATCTTTCACAGATGCCGTGGGAGAACATTGCCCAACATGACAATTCTAATGTATGCTGGCAGGTATGGAAATCACTATACCTCCAGGTCCTTGATCGACACGCTCCCCTTAGACGTATGAGAACTCGTGGAAATTCTCTCCCTTGGATTTCTTCAGACATCAAGGGTATAATGAGATCAAGAGACTTCCACAAAATAAAAGCGGTTAGATATAATTCTCAAAGTCATTGGACAAAATATAAGGAATTACGAAACAAAGTTAATGCTGAACTAATTAAAGCTAAAAGAAACTATTTCTGCAATAAAATAGAAGATTGTGCTCAGTCCAAAGACATAAAGCAAAGCTGGAATTTAATTAACCACCTCATGGGTAAAATGTGAAATCAAACACGATATCCCAACTTAAAACGGATAATTCTGTCATTTCAGACGATAAATTAAAATCTGAGGCTTTTAATGATTTCTTTGTCAATATCGGGGCAAAACTTGCAGCTGAAATTGAAGATAATTCCCTCAACACAAATTCTTTTGCTCGCGGAGATTCTAGGCCTACTACCGACTCCAATCTTTTTTTCAAATTTTCTGAAATTAACGAGGACGAAGTAATATATCAATTGCGTAGTCTCAAAATTTCAAGATCCACAGGATTAGATAACATCCCTGCTAAAGCTCTTAAAATATCCGCGGACATTGTTGGTCCGCCATTAACTTGGATATTTAACCTTTCGATCAAAAAAGGAGAATATGTGGATGAATGGAAAAAAGCCTGGGTTACACCTATTTATAAATCTGATGACAGGTTGAAATGCGAGAATTATCGCCCTATCTCGATACTACCCATTGTTAGTAAAATACTTGAGAGATGCGTTTTTAATCAAATTTATAAATTTCTTAATGACAATTCACTTCTTTCAAAACATCAACATGGTTTTCGGCTTAAACATTCAACTCTCACCGCTCTAACTCAGGCGTGCGATACACTTTATGAAAATATGGATAATGGTCAATTGAGCGGCATTGTTTTTCTTGACATTCGTAAAGCCTTCGACTCAATTGATCATAATATTCTGCTTCATAAATTAAAAGATCAATTCGGTATATCGGATATTGAGTTAAGATGGTTTGAGTCTTACTTAAATAATAGGGAGCAAGTCTGTATTGTTATTAATTCAATGTCATTGTCAAAACGGATTGTTTCTGGGGTTCCGCAGGGATCTATTTCAAGTCCACTGTTATTTTTACTCTATATCAATGACCTCCCCGAATGTCTTCAAAAAAATACTCCTTATTTATATGCTGACGATACCCAAATTTGCTGCAGCTGTAACAGTTTGATTGAATTAACCGAAAACCTTAATCACGATCTGAGTAGAATCGGTGATTGGCTTTCTAGAAATAAATTACAACACCACCCAACTGAGACCAAAATAATGTTCATTGGCTCTAAACATCATATTAATTCCACAACTTTTGATCATCCAGTGATGTTAAATAACCAACGCATCCTCAGAGTTCAATCTTTCACATGTCTTGGTCTCGATTTAGATGAAAATCTTAACTGGAATTCACATATTCAGGCGATTTGCAAAAAGGTTGGAGCAGGCCTGGGTACTTTGAGACGTATTAAACCCTTTGTTCCGATAACCACCCTTCAAACAATTTATCGAGCTCTGATTCAGCCGTATTTTGATTATTGTTCTCCCATTTGGGGCGTCTGTGATCAAAATTTGAAAAATAAACTCCAAAAATTTCAAAATCGCGCAGCCCGAATCATTGTCGGTGCAAGTTATGAGATTAGATCTGCTGATGTTCTTCAATCTCTTGCTTGGGACAATTTAGAGACAAGACGACGTACAACCAAAGCAATATTAATGTTTAAAGTCTTGAAGGATTACGTAGGACCTACGTTGAAAGAATCCTTGATAAGACGCAACCATATGCAAACAAATTATGATCTTAGAAATAGTCATACAGATTTGGCTCTTCCTAAGCCTAAAAGAGAATTCCTAAAAAAGAGTTTTAAATACAGTGGGGTTAAGCTATGGAATAGTCTCTCTATCGATACGAAACTGGCAGAATCAATGCATCTGTTCAAAAGCCATTTAAAACTTAACTCTAATACTATATATATTTGAAATAAATTGTAACTCCGTCTAACCATAACATCTGGGGTCACACCATTTTGTAAATAGTCTTCTTTTCCCTTATATCTTTTGTAATTTTTAACATTGTAGACGCCCCCCGTGGAAACCAACGCACCGTTGACGGGGCTAGTGTCTTTAAATAAAGTTTTAATACAATACAAAACGAACTCCCTACTGAGGTAAGCGAGATTAAATTAAAACTAAACCAACATATTGTCGAAACGAAAGCAGAGCTTCAACAAATAAAGGAGAACTTTGCCGAACAGCTTGATCAGCTAAAAGAACTGAGTTTGAATGGTGGCACTAAAGTAACTGAATATCGTCTAACAAGCCTAGATCATGAAAACGCTACCCTTAGACATGAAAACACGCAACTCAGGCGCGAAAACGACTCCTTGAAAGAAAGGTTTAACAATCGTTCTTATATGGTATCGGATCTAAATACGAAAATCAAAAACATTGAAGATGAGAAATTGAGCCTAGTCACTGCCCTTAAGCTGCTGCAAGAAGACAGCAAATCTATATCATTAAATAACAGAGATGCAACCCACAATACATGGCATACCCCAGGGCATAGAGCGAGAACTAATGTACATAACATTTCTGCTAATTATGCATGCCAAAATAAAACTGCTCGATCTGCAGCTGATATGAATGCTCAAGAACCGGACATAATAACGCCAAATGGATTCGGTCTCCTGTCCACGGAACATGACTCAGATAAAGAATCAGAATCTAATGACGGAATTGACCCGAGTGAGTCTGGCACTTCGACTATTAGACAAAGTAGGTCAAATAATTTAAACATGGGGATTCGAACAAACACGATAGAAAACAAAGGAGAAAAGAAAGTCAATCAACCCAAACTTCTATTGAATTTTCCAAGGGCAAGGCCAAAACCAACAATAGAAAGCATACAACAAATGCAAATTCAAACGATTTGTTTCAAACAGGCTCAAAGAATAATAAGTCTGGCAAACTTGTTTTCATCGCCGGGGACTCAATTCTACAACATGTTCACGGCTGGGACTTGTCTAACGATAAACAACGTGTATCTGTTAAGTCCTTTTCAGGGAGTAAAGCTGAAGATATGCAAGATTACATAAAACCATTACTACGCAAAAAGCCCGACGAGATAATATTGCATGTAGGCACTAACAATATTAAAGATAACTCCAAGACGGCAGAAGTAGTTGCTGCGGGTATCTTAAACCTCGGAACCCAAATAAAGGATAGTCTACCATGCACTAACGTATGTATATCGGGCATTATTACCAGGAAAGATAAAGCTAATATCCAGAACAAAATTAAAACTGTAAATGACATTCTTAAACGGGTCTCTAACCAAAACAAATGGACCTATATAGACAACACTAATTTAGATTATACTTGCCTAAATAGAGGTGGCCTACATTTAAATAGAAAGGGTAGTAGCACTCTTACTAGAAATTATAGTAATCACTTTAGTCGTAATTGAAATAAGGCATGGCCAGGTGCTGTAAGGTATGCTCAATTTAACCCATATTTCCCTGATTTTAAGGGTTTCAAAATGGGTATGCTTAACATAACCAGTTTACCTAAGCATATTGACGAAATTAGGATCATATTAGCCGATGAATGTCTCGATATTCTTGCATTAAATGAGACAAGATTGGATGATACTATTAATAACCAGGATATGTACGGTATATAAGTAATTATGATCTTATTAGGGTCGATCGCTCTAGAACAGGGGGAGGCGTCTGTTTATTTGTGAAAACTTCCTTTAACTATTTAGAACGAAAAGATCTGACTAGAGATAATCTCGAAGCTATATGTGTTGAGATTCGCAAACTTTCCACTGCACCATTTATTGTCGGTACTATTTACAGACCTCCAAGTGCTTCTGTTGACTCTTTTGCCACAATTGAGCAATTAGTAAAAACAATAGATGATGAAAATAAAAATTTTTTCATACTTGGTGACTTAAATGCTAACATGCTTGACACCTCAAACAATGCCACAAAGAATTTAAATTCAATCATGGAATTATATCAATTATCGCAAACGATAAACACACCCACCCGTGTGACCACGACCTCATCCTCCCTAATAGACGTTTGTCTTACTCCCACTCCAACTAAGTTAATAACATCACAAGTAATACCGATTGCCATTAGTGATCATTACATGATCTTCGTTGTCCGTGAAATAAATATCCAGCGCAAACAGAACAGTCACAAGAAAGTTTAAATTCGTAATTTAAAATATTTTAATGCTGAGAGTTTTCAAGCTGACCTGTGTGGTCAGGAATGGGAATTATTAGATAACAATCTCTGCGTTGATAAGATGTGGGACACATGGAAAACACTTTTCGTACAAGTTCTTGATAGGCATGCCCCAATCAGGGAAAAGAGAGTTAAAAGTAAACCAAATGTTCCTTGGCTCACTAGTACAATTAAAAAAACAAATCCACGAACGCGATCGCCTTAAATCTCTTGCTATTAGACATAAATCCGAAAATTACTGGAACGCATGCAAAGCCTCTAGAAATCGCGTAACTGATGCATTGCGAGAAACAAAAGCAGCATATTATAAAGGAGAATTTAAGAAAGTCAAACATGATCCCAAACAAGCATGGAAAACTGTGAATAAAATCCTAAGCCGTAAACAAGAAAGTAGAGAAATAAATTGTCTTGAAACACAGAGAGGACAAATTTCACATCCAACGGAGTTAGCGGAGTGTTTTAATAATTCACCAATATTGGTCCTGATATTGCCAAAAATATCGACAATGGTGACAGAAATTTCAAGGATTACATCATGACAACAACTAGTAGCTTTAATTTTCAAACAGTGTCTGAGTCGAACGTATACAGACTTCTGTTATCTCTAAATCCTCGTAAATCTACTGGAATTGACAAAATACCTGCCAAAATTATTCGCATTGCTGCTCCGGTAATTACAAACTCATTGACAAAAATTTTCAATATGGCCATTATAAGTTCAACTTGTTCCTTTTGAGTGGAAAATAGCAAGAGTCACTCCCATATTTAAAAACGGCCCACGAAACTTATTAAACAACTATCGCCCCATTTCTATCCTCCCTGTAGTAAGTAAACTTTTTGAAAAAGTATTATACGAACAACTCCATGAGTATCTTGTTACACAGGAGTTGTTGTCCCCTCGTCAATTTGGTTTCAGGAAGTTTCATTCTACAGCCTCTGCTCTTTTAGATAGTACAAATGAATGGTTTATTAATATGGACCGTGGTTTGTTTAATATAGCTGTTTTTCTGGACTTACAAAAGGCGTTCGACACCATAAATAATGACATCCTCTTAACGAAACTTGATCTTTATGGCCTACAGAAGCCATCATTAAACCTTTTAGGATCCTATTTAGCGAATAGAACCCAAATGTGCTCCGTTAATGGCGCTCTGTCGGGCACGAAGTTGGTTACATGTGGAATCCCTCAAGGTTCAATTCTTGGCCCACTCTTATTCTTGATCTACATTAATGATCTGCTTAACAGTTTGGAGTACTCGTCGACAAGAATGTTTGCCGACGATACGACTCTAACTGTATCTGGCAAGTCAATCCACGATGTAGAGGTGGCCATAAATCATGACCTTACGAACGTTAAACAATGGCTTTCTGCAAATAGATTATCTCTTAATCTAGTCAAAACTGAGTATGTACTAAAAGGATCTCGGTAGAACATAAATAATTTACTTGCTGCTCCAAATGTATTTGTTGGTGATACACCAATTAAAAAGGTCAAAGAAACAAAAGCGCTTGGAGTTCATATTGACGAATTTCTATTGTGGGATAAGCATATTGATAAAATTGCTAAGAAGATTTCATTCGGAATTGGGGCGATCAGAAAGCTAAAATCTTGTGTGGATCATAATACATTAATTTGTGCTTATACTTCCACACCTAGATTATTGTTGCGAAGTTTGGGACACCATTGCATGGTGCCACACTTTCTGATCGACTCGAGAAACTACAAAATAGGGCAGCTAGCTAGAGTTATTACTGGCCGTAAAAACGAACACGGTCAATCTGAACTTGCTCTAGACGAACTGAAATGGAAACCTTTAAGTGAACGCAGAACACATTTCGTAGCAAGTCTTATGTATAAAATAACTCGCGAACCAACCTCGTTCCCAGGCTCTTTGCTCTTGGGAAGCAAAGACCCTGGTCGGAGCTGGTCACGTGAACCCCCAGATTTTGGGGGTAAATTGAATTTGACCTCAGGGAGAGGTAGTAGAGGAGTCTGTTTGTTGCGTTTGGAAAATTGCAACTTTAGGTGTTATAATTTCGGGTGATAAAAATGTAATTTGCAACAAGAGATTGTGAAAGGAACTGTTTTAAATCGTACCGATCATGACAAGACTTCCTGCTGTACTGAATGTCATCAATAATAAGTGTTGCGGTACATTTCAAGCGAGAAGCTGGATCATATTTCACTTGCAAGGAAAACATCCACACGCGCCTGGCTTGCGAAGTTTAGCACGTATCGCCGTAGAAACATACATATCTTCTACACAGAATGATCGATCTAACGGTATTAAAGAACGATATGGTTCTTTATAGTCGAAGTGTATCCTGTCCGATATTCAAAACAAAAGATTTATTTTATAACGGGATCCTTTGATTTCCCAAACATCGCCAACATGTGCAAACAATAGTGCTATTTTGACTGTAAAAGCACAGGATTAAAACCCGTTATGGACTGGCTATAAAATTCATTTCATTTACATTGCTGAAACTCAACGATCAAGAACGATCAAGAAAAATAATGTCGAAGTGTAGCTAGCTATCTGTTATTCTGTTATCACACAAACACCAAGACTCCTCCGTGCGTTTCCGTGCGTGCGGTACAACTTGAATATCTAGGACGATATATGCACCAGACACTGGTATTGTACTTTATATAAATTATTTCATATTTTGTATATACAGTAACGGCAACATGTATAATATTAGACCTTTCATTGACATTGGCATTGTCCATTGAGGGCTTTATTGAAGAATAATCCAGCTTCTTTAGACTTGTATAATGGATTAATGCCGCTGTGAGTTATCAATATTTAAATCCACTTTAATCTTTATCGTATACTGTAATCGACATTTTGGAAGTTTAGTCTGTTTTACAAAACAATACTGGAGGCAAACAACCTATCTATCAATGGAAACTTTAAAAGGTTTGTTACAGTAAAACGCATTAATATAAAGTGAGACTTCGTGTGCATATATATAAAGTTTATGAATTATGTATATCCCTGATAAAACGTAGGACACTTTATACCAGATATAATAAAAAATACTTTGCTAAACCTTTTCGGCTGTCATTCCTTTGCATTTAAGGGGAGAGAGTAAATGGCGATAGAATTTATAGGAGATGCTGTGCAATATTTTGGCTTCAACAGACAGGTACTCGTGCAGACAAAAAAGGAAATTCATGCAGTTTTGAATTGTCGTACGTCAGCTGTGCACTGTCGATTTCAAACAATTTTGTACGTTATATTTTGTCTTCCTGGTGTTTAATATAAACGATGATAACCTTTTAAAGAAAAATCTAGAGCAATATGTCCATAAACAGTTTTAGAATCAATAGAATGGACATTCAATGTGTATTTGGCTTGTGTCCAAATGTGTCACGTTTAAGACCGGCAAGGCGCTAATCCTACGACCTATAAACAGTCGCTTTTGAGACATCTGTTTAAAAAAAATTATACCATGTCCATATCAGAACAATTCATTGGCATATTATAAGCATATTATAAATATCAGAGCCAGAACAGAAACGTATATGCGTGAAATAGAACTACGCCCGAACCGGCGAACCCCGAGAAAATAAAAATATTTCAAAGCGTACAGTCATACGTTCTCGTTGCTTGATTTCCCGAATTTTAGAGAAGAATCTGCATTTTAGCATGTTTGTATAATTTAAAAGCAAACAGAAACCAATTTAGCAAGTAGTTTGAGGTATATATGATTCTTGAAGATGAATTAATGATTGTACAGAACGGCCACTCCTTGCAATCGAAGTGCGGAAGTGGAAACATGTAATATGAGACTTTTCCATCCCCCTCTTGGGCTATCAATTTTCAATGGGTCACGTGACCAGCTCCGACCAGGGTCTTTGCTTCCCAAGAGCAAAGAGCCGGGGAACGAGGTTGCGGCACCGGCTATGGGCCATTACCTGAACAAGAAGCGACTGTAAACAGTGTGATTTAGACGTAAATGCTTTCGGCCGATCGTACAGTTTTAGCAAAGGTAGTTTTAAAGGCATAGGCTTGTTTACTCGAAGAAATAAACGCTTTTGACGTACTCTTTGGTTATTTATTGAACTACATGACTCGACGCTGATTATATTAACATATATACGGTTATTCCGGTCAAATAGGGGTTACGAAAAAATTCGTTAAAAATTCAATTCTAAGTTGCCCAAAAATTTTTTTTGATCAATAGCAAGGGAAAACATATTTCTTTGATCTGGTTATGAATTTGTTGTCTGAATCGATGTAACAATGGAGATATTGGCTGCCTAATATGGCATATAATAAAGAGGTTCGAAAATAAAAAACATTAAGAAAATCTGTAAAATATTCACTTTTTACAGAAATGTCTCTAAATTTCGTCTGCTAATCAATAAATATCTCTAATTTATAAAACGAAATCATGTTTTGTGAAATATTCCCATTAACGCGCAAAATAGAGCGATTTTGGTAGTGCCGTAAAATGACCTGTAAAAATCGAAAGTGGCCTGGGAAAACCAATTTCGACGTCTCTCTCCTTCAATATTTATCCGATCGAAATAAAACTTTCACAACATTAATACTTCATATAGGCCTATATTCTGACAAAGTTTGAACGAGTTTGAATTTTCTCATTTTACACGTCTTACCTGAATATTACAGACAACCGCTCTTAACACGCGAAAAATAACTATCCAGGTAGCAAGTTAACTATAAAGTTTAGTATAATTCTTGAATTCGTAATATAGCGTGTATTCTATTTGTGGCACACTTATTCGGTACATATTAAACAACGATAATAATTATATTGTACATTATGTTGGCGTGCAACTATTTAGTAATTTTAATCAAGTTTAAAACGATCAATTGTAAAGGGTTAGGTTAAAACGCGGAAGCGGATGCGGAACGGAACGGATGCGGAACGGATGCGGAACGGAACGGATATGGGGTTAAAATGCGGAACGGAACGGATATGGGGTTAAAATGCGGAACGGAACGGATATGCGGAACGGAACGGATATGGGGTTAAAATGCGGAACGGAACGGATATGCGGAACGGAACGGAACGGATATGGGGTTAAAATGCGGAACGGAACGGAAATGCGGAACGGAACGGAACGGATATGGGGTTAAAATGCGGAACGGAACGGATATGGGGTTAAAATGCGGAACGGAACGGATATGCGGAACGGAACGGAACGGATATGGGGTTAAAATCCATCTGGTGGACGGGAAATCTGATTGGTTGATCAGCATCATGAAAGATTTTGATTGGTTGCAAGTTCATATAAACAATGGCTTTAAAAATAGCTCTGTCAAAGCGACAATTAAGCCGGTTAAAGACGAGCAAGTTTTCTTTAAGAATCTTTAAAACCCGGAATGAGAAAAGCCGGAATCTTTAAAACCCGGAATTATTACTGTAATTACTGTAATAATTTATTAATTTAATAATTTTTAATAAAGCCAAGTTTTGGCGGGATTCCTAAACT